AAGAAGTGGCAAAAGCATATTTGACTACCACAGGATTGAGCCTCTGCTTGTCTTATATTCCTTCAAATTATCTACCAGTCTCTGGCTAGTATTATTATATGCATGATGAGATTCACAATTCAAAATTGTGGCTCTTGGTGTCTCACTAATAGGCATTTGATTTAAGGGATTGAAGTTTCAACAATCTTTTGAAAAAGAACTTGAGCAGTATAATCAGACATATGCAACATAGTTACAATACTGTTCCATTGAACAAAAATTCTACAATGCCATAAATACATCTAGATAGATGACATGGCCTCTCTGTCTGAAGTCTCTCAAACTTTTAAGAGGAACTAGAGGAAACAAAAATAATAAAATTAAATAAAATACTACAAAAAGAAAAAAGTTCCATTTATTTATTTTGCAATGTGTTTCTCTTTCCTTCTCAGTAAACAATTTAACAAGAGTGTGGAATCCAATTGGGGAAACTTCTTATGCCATACTCTTATTAATAATATATGAAGAATAATTTTACCATTTATAGTAGACAACAAATATCTTTCTTTCTTAATAATATATGAAGAATAATTTTACCTTTTATAGTAGACAACAAATATCTTTCTTTCTTAATTTTTAAGTATGCTTCCTTTTCATAGTAATGGTAATATATAGCCATGATCTTATTAATATCTCTAAGATAATTTATTAAGAATAATACTACCATTTATAGTTAGGCAACAAATATCTTTCTTAAATTTCAAGTTTGCTTCTTTTTCAAATTAATGGTAACAAATATTAGAGCATCATCATACTTCACCATGAAGTGTTTATGATTGACATGAGTCGTGTTAGGTTCTATCCCACGTTTTGTAGATACTATCCATTTTATACACTCTTAGTGCTTGACTATCATCTTTGAATATGATTGGATTGAGCATCTGCATGTCTTTATCTTCCTTCAAATCATCCACCAGTCTTGTGGCTAGTGTCTAATACAATAATCATGTGGCCCTCTCAATAATCATCTGAAAATGAAGAATGAGGCATAAGGTGTGAACATGTCATTGATGTCCACCTTAGCTTGAAGCTAAAAAGTATGCATATGTTACAAAACTTTTTGAATTGTTGAGCAGAATTGATATATGATATAGATGGAGTGGACAAATAGTCCACAAACACAGAAGGAAGTTTCAAACTTTTGAGGAACCATTTTGTTGTATATGCCACTGTCACTACTTAGTGATTGATGCTTGCTTTGACCAGATGCAATGTGAAAAGAAAAAGAAAAAAATAATAAAAATAATTCATACACGTGTTTTGAACGAATGGGAGACATAAAAAAATTTAATTGCACTGATATGATATTAGTGATGACATAATATCATCAGTTTATTAAATATTGTCACGTTGTGATAGTAGTCATTAAAATAAAATACTTTCACTTATTTAACATAATATAATTAGTTAATGTTATAAATAACAACGTATTAAAGGTGATGGAAATGTTTTTATGGAGAGAGACCTTTGAAAAGCTGGGTACAATTGGCACTTCATGGTCCTCATCTAACCTTGTGATCTGTCTCACTATTATCTTCAACATGGAGAAATTTTACTTGGTTCTAGAATGATCTTGGGCTAATCACTAATTTTTTTTTTTTTTTTTTTTTTTTTTTTTTTTTTTCATTTGTAAGAAATTCACGCACTTATTTATTCTTGCGGTAACTCGAACCCTCACATCTAATTTGGAAGATAGATGAGATACTATTAGACTATCATCTTTGCTGGCTTATCACTAGTTATTGTTGTTGTTTTTTTTTTTTTTTTTTTTCTTTTTCTTTAACCTAGCAAACAGAAAGGCTTTATGAACATCATAGCAACAAGTACTTGAGGATGAGCACACTTAAAGCAGAGAGACAAATACATGGATCTTTGCGTGATACCTTCCTGATCAGATCTACCATTGAAAGGGCAATCACTAGTTGACACGTAAGCAAATGTGTCAACTTTATGCTAGCATTATTCAACTTTTTACTTGTGTGTTAACTAGTAATTGACCAAGAGTTCCAAGATCATGTAATAATTTCTCCTTCAACACATGTTCTTACAGTGAAAAGAGCTTTTTAACAAAAGTTTATTACTCCTAATATTCATCCCCCGTTTAGTATATAGAATTATTTCCAACATTTTCAACTTGAAAACCAGTATATTTACAAGCAATTTTGATAGCTTGCTAGGAGCTTTACTCTAAAACACTTACTTTGGCTGTTACACAATGGGATGTACTTCAACATCCTTTTTCTTGGAACTACAACTACTAATCACAACAGGAAAAGAAAAAAAAAAAAAAATTACTAATCACAATCTTTCATCTTCAAACTTAGCAGTGGTTCAAGAGATCTATATCTAAACTAGTATAAGTAAATTTTGTCCCCCGTGTTTTTTAGGTGCAATTACAAAACAATTTTTGCACAAATAGTTTCTTTAAAAATCATGCAGATACATAGGGGGGAACAAAGTGAAGGAGAGACCAAATTATTCCCTAAATCATAGAGAAATTAGGAGGCTCAAGCCGGAAAGAAAAACATAAAATATTAAGACAAAATTGGCTCAATACAAGTTGAGGCCTAAGGCAAAGACTCGCCTAAGATTTTGTCTTTATATTTATAAAACGACGTGATTGCACTTTACTTGATATTTTTTATAAATAAAATATGATTATTTTTTGTAATAATTATGATGTGTGAGATGATGGAGTGCATATATAATTTTTCTTCAATTTATTTAGATAAAATAAGAATAATAATAGTCTCTCTCACAATGATACTGAACACATATATAATAAGTAAAAATTTACTCAACTTTTAGGGTCGTCTTTGAAAGAATTGGAAAGGGTGTATTTTAAATAAAAAGATATCTTAAATTGGGCCCACGTTATATTAAATTATAAGTATTATTCCCATTATTACTATGTTTTAGTTTTATATTTATGGTACAAAGAAGTTATAATTTTGAATCTAACAGACTTATGCAATATTTTGGGGTGTCACTATGAGCTATTTTGAGAATTCTTTCTTCTTTGATTCTTGAATATTTTTGTACTGAATTTGGGGCAACTTTGACATAAGGTTAGTACACACTTATTTTCGGTGGACGTGTTCATAGAAGACCACTAATGGATATGAATTGTATCTTAGAATCATAATGTAAAGAGGTGATACGACTTTAAGACAGAGTTTGTATGCCTCTCATTATCCAAGTCAATTTTTCCCTACTTATTTCACTATTATGGTTTTATCTTTTCTTAATTATATTATAAATTTGTTTTGTATTGATTAAATTCCATGAATTATTGTTATACTCATATCTTGTTATTATTCATGATTAATGAAATTTTTGTCAATTCATTGTGATGTATTACTCTTTGATGTACTATTCATTTGTGTAAAGAAAGAAACAATCTCAAAATGGAGCCTTCTCCAAATACTAAAAAATAGTGTACTTAAATAGTAAATACAAAAAAGTTACAATGAGGCCCACATTGTTAGATTGAATTTTTTGTCAGATGGGGCCTACAACATCCATAACAAACAAGAACAGTGACGACAGAGTTGACGAAAGCAACATCAAGCTAACTCAAATCCACCAACAAGTCCACAAACAACTCAGTGTTTATGGATTACTTTTCTACGAGAGTTAGTTGGCTTTGAGTCATAGTTTCACTTTATAGTCAATCATAACACTTCAGAACTGAAACTTTCAGTAAAATGGTTTAATTTTCTAGAAGAGTTAATTGGCTTTGAGTCATAGTTTCACTTTATTGTCAATCATAACACTTCAGAACTGAAACTTTCAGTAAAATGGTTTACTGTACCCAAGAGTTGGCTTTGGGTCAATTTTAAATTCAGTCGACCAACACTTCTCTACATTATTTTGTATACACCAGTTTTAATATGCTAATATATATGCTTTAAAAATATAGTTTATCACGATAAAATGTGACAGTGTTTTCTATTCATATACAATTTCTTTGCTTATTTTCATGTTTGTAAAAGTGGGAACTGTGTTTTATGATTGTAAACATGGGAGTTATTTTTTCATGTTTTTGTAATTTGGAGTTATTTTCTTTCTTCAAAAGCTATTTTCCTAACTATTTGAGATTGGTTAAGTAAATCTTATATTTTGCATTATAGACTATTTAAGGCCATGGACATATATCAATACACGACGTATTGACCGGTTCATAATTTTTTTTTCAAAAGTCTGCTACCGTTACACACCTCCATGAACCGATCGATTTGGCCGATTACATCGATATTCATCTGAATCAATTACAATGCGACCGATACGACAATTACGAGCTAAGGTTATCATGTTCTTCTTGCTCATCTCACTAACTGGTTAAGTTTGGTCCCTAATATTATTTAGGAACTTTTGAGTAAGAAAGTGTCATCTTAAATTCAATTCTGAAACTTTTTGTCCTTGACTGATTGTTTAGCAATCCGATCATACATTGAAGAGTAATTTTGGAATTAGATGAAAAGTCTGAGTCATGTGCATCACCATACCACCAAAAAGAGGATTTCGACGTCTGGAGGGGAGCAAAGTGCTCATTTTCAGAACTACTATAATTAAGTTGTTCACTTTTTTACTTGTTTGTTTAAACCTAGGGGGTTATTTTGTACTTTTGCCTAAATTCAATTATGAAGATTTTTGTCGTTGGCCGATTGTTTAGGGAACCTTTTGAACCACTCATGCAGTGTTCTGTCTCCTAGTGAGCTACCACTTCATAGTGCGATCCCACACGATTTCAAATTGACCCTAGTGGACAAGGGGTGCTTTAACTCTGTGTGTGTGTGTGTGACAGAGAGAGAGAGAGAGGAAGAGCGATGAAGTTCCAATCTGAAAGGGAAAAATTTGAAAAAAAAATAACCAGAAAAAAAAAAATTAAATAAATAAATTATACAGAACAGAGACAGATGTGGTGGTTAGTGTGGCTTGGGATATTTAAAGGTAGAGAGAGACGTATGAAAACGTTTTTACTACTGCAAGAAGAGCAAGAAATGGGCTACTAAATGAGTATACGACTGTTTTTCTTGGTGAGTGGTTTATAGCTGATACTATATTTATTTCATCTTCACAACTAAAATAGTGAACCATGCAAGTAAGAGAGGAGAGAGAGAGAGAGGCCATGGAGATGAATGGAAGAGAAACAGCAGAAAATAATGAGGAAGCTATTACAACTACTGATGAGCCTGAGATTAACTACAAAGGAATTAAGGCCATGCCCTATATTATAGGTTTGACAAAGAACTAGTTTTTTTTTAGTTCATAAATAGCTAAGAAAATAAAATAAATATTTAATTCTCATTTTCTGTTTGATTTGTACATCAATTTCAGGAAATGAGACCTTTGAGAAGCTTGGAGCCATTGGCACCATATCCAACCTCTTGGTTTATCTCACCTTAGTCTTCAACATGAAAAGCATCACAGCTACAACTATCATCTACATCTTCAATGGCACCACCAATTTTGCTACTTTACCAGGAGCTTTTCTCTGTGACACTTACTTTGGTCGCTACAAGACGCTCGGATTCGCCTCAATCGTCTCCTCTTTGGTACCTTTTTTACTACTTTCACTATCCTCAAATTCTCAAACTCTTCAATACTTAGCACACAAAATCACATGTACTACTACTGAAGTTGCATATATGTGACCGGCCGGGGTAATAGTGAATTTTTTAAGTAATTCCAGTAGGGGCAATTGCCCCCACCGACTTAAATACTGGTCGGTGCCTAATTCCTTATATCGCGTTCCTAGACATGGAGTATGTAGATTGTAAAGTAGACTTTGTCTTCACCCTTTCTATGTTAAAATCCAAGTTGGGGTGTTGTGACTATGTTACTATTTCCGGAAATAAATGTCAAATTAAACAATAGTTTTTTTATTTGACTATAATCAAATTCGACTAGATGTTAGACATAAGTAAGTGGGGAATAAGAACGAATAAATGCTGGGGAAATAAAAATCTAGGAGAGATTCTTCGTCTTACTAGTCTTCGACACTAGAAAGGGGTGTAGTGATTAACATGAACTTCAGAAACTTATATATGTATATATCTTATACTACCCCTCAGTCACTCATTCTCAATTTCATTAACCAAAGGGAGAAAAAGATGACAGCAATAAGCTGCCCAAATTTTGAAAAAATGACTCTAGTAATAGATAACAAAATTGGCCAAGTCCTATGACTCAAACCCCAAGGGGATAATCTAACCACAAAGATTCTCACCTCGCATCATTCCCGCTAATTGCCCGGTGCATGCAGGACACCGGATTGCATATGTCTGGTAGTGGATTACGAGGTGCTCTAAGCGACCTGACACCATCAAGAGCTATATGGTTAAGATCCCTCTAGTGTGAGAACATCTACTTCTATTGCTTCTTGCTTAGTTATTTCTCATTCGCTAACTCATGAATGAATGATTTACTCTCTATTTTTTTTTTTTTACACAAATAATTAGCCTACTACTAGCATTACAATGCTTCATTCTCAAGTTTATCAATGGTTGGCACCCAAACTGATATGCACTAACCGAGATTGATTAACATGAACTTAGAATCTTATATCATATCTACCCTCAATCATTCATTCCCAAATTTCACTAACAGAAGTAAGAAAAATATGATGCTAATAAACACCCCAAATTTTACTTATCTCTTGTTCCTTTCTCTTTGAAGGGGTTGATTGTAATAGCACTAACAGCGGCAATCAAGAATTTGCATCCTCCTCATTGTGGATCAGAAGATAATACCAAATGCATCGGACCAACACCGTGGCAATTGGCATTTTTACTAACCGGATTTGGATTGATGATAGTAGGGGCCGGTGGCATTCGTCCATGTAACCTGGCGTTTGGAGCCGATCAATTCAATCCGAAAACTGAATCTGGGAAAAGGGGTATCAATAGCTTCTTCAATTGGTACATGTTCACTGTAACTTTCGCTCAGATGGTATCGGTCACAGTTGTCGTCTATATCCAAACCAATGTGAGCTGGGCTATAGGCTTAGCAATTCCTGCACTTTTTATGATGGTGTCATGTGTGCTCTTCTTCATGGGTACAAAAATATATGTGAAAGTGAAGCCTGAGGGTAGTCCCTTGACTAGTATAGTGCAGGTTATGGTGGTGGCGGTTAAGAAGAAGAGATTAAAGCTACCAGAGCAACCATGGCTCTCTTGTTTCAATTATGTGCCTCCTAAGTCTATCAATTCCAACCTTCCTTACACAAGTCAATTCAGGTATTCATCTCTCAACTGTTTGACATATATACTAGTCAGCTCACTAGCTTTAGTGGTATCTCTTGCCATGGCACCAGGAAATGTGTAGGCTTGAGTATTTTATTCTTTTTGGGCTTATGTTTGCTAATTTTTGTGAATCACATGCATGAACCAGCCTAGCTACCAGATTCTCAGTTTGTCCTGTCTATAACTATGTCTTTCTAGAAATTACTGCGTTTTTTTCCCGTTTGTGTGTGTGTGGGTGGCTGATGTGTGTGTTTTGTCTATAACTCTAATATGTCATCAGATACAGAATTTGTCTCTGAATCCATTAGGTTATCACTATTGAGCACAGACAAATTGTTCCATAACTCTTTAACTTCTGACTTATTAGATCTCCAAATACAAAACAAGTCTCCTAAAGTTAACGAAAATGACTATGCTAGCAGATTCCTCAACAAAGCAACCATAATAGAAGAGGATGATCAAACCAACCCAGATGGATCAGCAGCCAATCCATGGCAACTTTGCAGTATACAGCAAGTGGAACAAGTGAAATGTGTGCTCAGGGTGATCCCTATATGGGCTGCAGCTATTTTGTACTTTGTTCCTATAGTCCAACAGCATTCATATGTAATTTTCCAAGCCCTTCAATCCAACAGACGGCTCGGTAACAGCAATTTTAAAATCCCAGCCGCGTCGTACCCTATCTTTTCAATGCTGAGCCTCACTATCTGGGTACCCATCTATGATCGGATCCTAGTCCCGTCGCTTAGAAAGCTCACAGGTAAAGAAGGTGGCATCACAATCCTCCAAAGAATGGGCATTGGCATAGCCCTCTCTGTACTTACAATGATAGTATCTGCCCTTGTTGAAGAGAAGAGGAGGATGTTGGCTCTCACCAGGCCAACATTAGGAATTCAACCGCGAAGAGGTGCCATTTCATCTATGTCGGCTTTATGGCTGATTCCTCAGCTCACGCTAGCCGGACTGGCTGAGGCATTCACTGCCATTGGCCAAATGGAGTTCTACTATAAGCAATTCCCAGAAAACATGAGAAGCTTTGGTGGGTCATTCTTCTTTTGTGGCATGGCGGCAGGTAGCTACACGAGTAGTTTCCTGGTGTCGATAGTTCATCGGACAACAAAGGGTGCTGCAACCGGCAATTGGTTGCCTGAAGATCTTAACAATGGGAGGTTAGATTATTTCTACTACCTGATTGCTGCTCTGGGAATCGTAAATATGGGCTACTTTTTAGCATGCACTAAGTGGTACAAGTACAAAGGGACCGGAGACAATACCATTTCAGTGGAAATGGAAGCAAAGAAATTTGATAAACCTCTTGTTTAGTTCACAAGTTTCACGTGACATATAATATTTGCAGAAGGTTGTATTTCCCACCCTAGTTTTCATGTTCAGATTTATATGCCTTGGTATAGCAAATTCCTATTTGGATTATAATGACATATGTTCCTGACATATCTGAAATATTTGTGATTTATATAATTGGTGAATTCAATGTATTATGTTTCGATTCATTATGGAATTGATAGTGTCCACTTAATTACAAGAAACATTTATATATGTATGTGATGGCGATCAATACATGAAGCTATCACATACATGAAGATAAATAGTAATCATAAGTTGTTCATAGTCTGTAATTATGGATGGACTCATTATTAACTAAGACTTGAACTGGATCTGCGTTAGGTTGAAATATATTGCGAGAGCCGTCGTATGTAATTGCTCCCTTTCACTGTCATGGCATTTGAGTCTTAAGCATAAGAGAAGTATAGACTCTTTTATTAATTAGTAATTACTTTGATTTGTTCGGCGGAATCTTCGGAATCCATAAACCAGCACTTTGGGTAATTATGTAATTAATAGTTAGAAAGTTATATTTTCAATATTTGCATCATTGCTACTTGTATTTATTTTGTATTGATTATGATTGATCACAAAGTAAATTCGAAGGCCTTTGTGTGTTTTTAGACAAAATGATTTATTATATATTTATTTATTTAAATTATTAGTTTTGTCAAACAAATGTTTTATTGTGATCAAGCCGGAAATAATCAAAAGTACCAAAATAAATATATTAATTAAGTAATCGGATTGATAACTTTATTTATCCGATAACTAATTATGTATAGAGGGGTCAAAGTGCAACATTGACTTAGAGGTTATTTATTATTTAATTGGAGTTCAATTAATTTCTTTTAATGGAATAAAAATCAATTTATGAATTAATTGAATTGGGTTTATGGATCGGGCCAATTATTAATTCATTATAACTAAGAAAATAATAAGCCCAAATGATTCTCACTCATAGCCCAACTTGATATTGGAATCCTATTAGATTTGAGATATATGAATTAGAGATTGAGAATGATTTATTATTTCCTTTTTTTATCTTTATGTTACCTATATATACATGGTCCATGTATATTTTATGGGTCACTTTTGGAAAAAAAAAAAAAAAAAAGAATATATTTTTTTGCCTCTCTCTAGAATTTTAGAGTTAGTATTCTCATCTAATGGAGGCTCCCACAAGCCTAGTTTTCCAAGGTCGTTTATGGAGGCTTATGGGTAATTCCTAAAGGCTAGACCATTACCAAGAAAATGGAGATCCAAGGAGAATGCATCTAAAAAAGGGATCTACAATAAGTGAGAACATCCACTTTAGAGGAGAAATCTAAAGTTTACTCAAATCTTGATGTAAGTTTTCTATCTCTAATTGAATGTATCATCATGTTCTTCATGCATAAAACTTGTCTCTACACATGAATCAAGATCTTTATTTAAAAATCCCTTATAAATTTTAAAAACTTCCGTTTTCCCAACAGTTGTATCAAAACTAGATTTGATTCATGTATAAAGTTTATTTTTTTTTATTGAAGAAAATCATCATTCATGGATCCAAATTTATATATGCAAATGTACATATTAATATTTGATCATGACGTATGTATATTTGTGATTGGATGATATTGATGTATGTTTGGGTCATGGATGAAGCTTATAGGTTTATTGAATATAATTTTATCTTTAAATGAATGTAATTAAGGCTTTGATTTTGCTATATGAAAGTTCAATTATATAATTTAATTTTTTTCCATTGTCTTTCAAGTGTAAAGATTTTTTAAAACCATGTAATCTTCATCAAAGAATGTTGTGAAGCTTCAAGAAGGTCCAAGAGGGTTAAATTAGGCTTCAGGAATTTTCTGAAATTTTTTAAAAATTTTCTGGGATTTTTCTTAATTTTTTAAGGGCTTAATTTAATTTTTGGAATTTTTTAATTAATTTTCTAAATTTTTTAATTAAAGAATTTTTTAATTTAATTTCTGGAATTTTCCAACTAATTTAGATTTTTTAAGGGTAGCGCCAAAAGGGAAGCCGGCCAATCCAGTGCTTCACGGTGCACCAGAATTAGGTGTAACCACATGCACAGCCATAGGATCTGATAAGCGAAGAAGAAACGATCAGGTGTGACGTAGCAATGGTACAACCTCATCAATCTGGCGCGTGAGGAACACGCGCCAGCCTTTAACTGATTCTATTAGCGCGTGGCAGCGCGTGTAAGTGCGTGCCACGCGCTTGCTCACTCTCCAAGTGAGTGCTATGCATTGCCTCACTCTCTTGGCGCGTGGAAAGCGTGTGTGAGGCGCGTGGTGGCGCGTTTGGGCACATGGGAAGTGATTTGACTCCTACATGTGCGTAGGACCTTATGGTGGACCTCCAAACTTGTTTTAATGATTATTTTGTGCTGTTTTTATTCATTGAAGAGTGAATTATTGCCCCAAAGAGGATTTTCAAGTTATTCTCCATTATTTAAAAATAGTAGGAGTTTAATGGGGTGCAATAATTATAGCACTTAGTAATTATTTAGTTTTTAATGTTGAAAGCTAAATCCATTAGCCATTTCATATATTTGTTTTTGTCAGTCATTTATTTATTTATGTGGTGTATGAGATGAATGCAATAATTAATTGCTGATTATAATTGTTCATGCATTGGATCCATGATTTTTATTATCTAAATGACTTTATTTATATTAATTAAATTATGAAAATTAATTGGATTTGATTACTAATTAATTAGAGGGCATTTATTGGGAAATGAAAAATTATTTTTGGAAATTATTTTTAAAGTGTACCTCAAATTATATATTAGTGAATCATTTAAAAGTCTAGATAATTTCTAAATTTAATTGGATTAAAATTAAGGCGTTTTGCATGTATTAAATCATGAATTGAAAACCCTAATAATAAATAATTAAAAATTGAGTGGGAGCGGGGATTTTTATACATTACCCCATTGCCTTCGTTATTATAACCATTGTAATTAGATCTTCAAAAATAAGGCCCTACGCATAATTTGAAGAGTCTGAGATTACAAGAATGGTTGTCTCATGAAAATAAAATTATTAAATGTTTATTGTAATTAGATCTTTAAAAATAAGGCCCTACGCATGATTTAAAGAATCTAGATTATAATGACAAGATATTTAATGTTTTATTTTTCGTTAGAGTATTAATAATATTATACGCTCAATCTAAAATCAATAGTGTTAGCTCCCCAACGGAGTGGTCTACACTAATTGATTTTTAAAAAGTTAAATATAATCGAGAATCATTTCATATATATAGATAAGGCATTGTCTGAAAAGATATGGAAATGATGGGATTTGCTCGCCAATAGTAATAATGAACTTCACCAACCGAAAAAGTTTTTGACATATTGTTTATTCGATTTTTCATGCAAAGTGGTTAATGGACCCACATATTATTATTTTAATGAAAGTGCTCGCCTAATAGCAAATGAATCTCAACAATAATAATAATGAACTCCTCCATTAGGATAAATTAGTGGCATATTAATTGTGTGATTTATTATGCTACAAAGTTAAGGAACCCGCATTAATTAAAAGGGATTGTTCACCAATAGTGATAATGAACTCTTATTTTATTGAGATTTCTTATACTATGTGGTTGACAAACTCATTTTAATTTTAAATATACATGATAGAATTAATAATTCACCTTGTATATTATATGAATGCATTTATATTCAGATATTATGTCTAATCTATTTTAATCTGCTTGCTAACATATTCAATGTATTTGGACCTCATTTATATTGACTGGAAAAGGAATTTAGATATTTTATTCACAACGTAAGGGTACAAAATGTATTTGCTACTCCTATACCTAATCCTTTTATTTTAAGATATACAATTTGACATTAATGCTTTTAATAAGTGAAATAAGGCAAATGATATGACTTGATCCAATATTCTAGAGTTTATCTTGAATACGCTCCAAAACTAATATTTGCATTATTTTATTTTCATCAACCATCATGCTAAATGTCAATGAGATGTTTTGGTGAGATTAGATAGAGTGTATGCCTTATTACTGTGTCAGACTTGAATACCATTGAGATAGCCTAAGGAACTCCAGTAAAAGATCGTATTTTGAAAATGACTGTTTATTATTTAAAAATTAACTGGAGGTCAACAAGGCTGATTTGGGTGATAAGTTTCAAGTTGACATGATTATTGCTTTGTTACCAAATTCGTTCTGCTCTTTGAGAGTGAACTAAATAAGGAATCAGTTTGAGTTCATACTCGCTAATATTCTTATAGAGTTGGTAACATATGAAGGGATAATCAAAAGTATAAGCGTTCCTATCAATCTAACCTAGTCTATACCATCTTCTTCTAGGCCAAGTGGAAAGGTAAATGAAAGAAGAATGATGATAATAGGATTAGGTTAGCACAAAACATGGGTATCCAAAAGGTTAAAGGAAATAAGACAGTGTAAGTTGAGGGCGAAGGAAATTGTTTCTTTTGCGGCTAACTAAGACACTAAAGGGCGAAATGTCTAAACAACGACGTGGCATAGGAAAATATATTTAATCATTGAGCCATGTTATGTAGTTGTATCTATTAATTCCTGATGGATAGATTCTGGAGCCATTAAACATGTTTTCAATTCATTGCAAGGATTTCAGGAATCCAGTAGCCTCAATGATATGGATATATATTTGTCTTTTGACCTGATGCCAAGGTTGCAGCTAAGTCAGTAGGAGTATTACATCTGAAATTAGAATGTATGAGGATGTTAGTATTCGAGAACTATCTTTATGTACAGATGTTAGACGCAATCTCGTTCTTGTTTCACTTCTGGTTTATAAAAACTGTGTTGTTTCTTTTGGTAAAATTGTTTTTATAAAATTGAATAGATGTGCGATTGCTTCTGGTGCATTGAAGATGGTTAATATACTATAATCACAAGCTCTTAATATTTGCATGATGTAGAAACTAATGTTGCATCTTCTAGATTGAATGTTAAGAAAAATTTTGTTATTCCTGACTCATTGTATTTTTAGTGTCTATTATTGAGTTATAATCAGTAAATATAAGATTCAAAGATTGGTCAAAGAAGGTTTATTACCTAGTGAGGCAGGGGAGCCTAAACCAACTTATGAATCCTGTATTGAATGATAGATAACCCTAAGGGCGTAATCAGCCAAATGAAA